AAACTAATGTTAGAGTTCGGTAAACATTGTAAGTTTTACCATCTGTTCTGTAAAATTTAAAATTCATAATGAATAAGTGTGTGTATATTTGAATTGTTTCAGTATAGATTGCTGTAGGAGCCATTATAGGCAAAGTGTTTGGAGTCGCTGGAGTAGGAAGCATCAGCAAAGGGTATGGCACCGGTGTGGTCTCTGTTTCTTGGGTTTGTTATTGATGGGTGTGTTGAGAAGTAGCCGGAGGAGGACTCGCGAGAGTGGAGGCCCACGGAGGAGTGAGAGTGGGGAGTCACGTGACGGGCTCTGCACGTAGTACAGCGGCCGTCGCGGTACTGGTGAGCGAGGATGTCGACAGCGGTACTGAACGGCGACCAAGGCTAGCTTCACAGTTTCGGTGAGATGATGGGACATGACAATGATGGAGTCCGGTAGTGATGAGGTCGGTGAGTTTGGTTTCGTCGGAAGTTGCAGAGGTTTGCCGGCGTTCTTGGCTGTCCTCTTCTTCATCGAAAACTTGTTACTGGCAGATTCTCGACTCCAAGCAGTCCTCCTCGTGGTAGGTTGCAGTTGGGGTCAATCTTGTCGTCGGTGTTTTGTTTACCGTCGCCGTGCCTTGTTGTGGCCCGCCGTGTGCCAGAGTGCCGAGAGCTTCGCCTTTGTTTTGGTTGTTGCTCGAATATTCGCAGAGTTGTGATCAGAGAATGGCGCGTGCGTGTGATGATGTCAACGCATTGAAGTCAAATATAATTAATTTATGCCAGCTGGACCACAACATCAATTCTGCCTAATAAATCAGTCAAACATTACTATTACGAACCATAGTAGATATGTTGATATAATTTTAATAGAGATGGCAACGGGAGGTTTGGAGCAGGTTACCTTCAATATCATCCCATTCTTTTAAATTTTTATCAAGTTCATATTTGCCTCGAAATTTGCAATGGGTTGAATTTTCATGTTCAGTCCTGTCCCGTTAGAAAATACTGTGCCCTCGTGCCCGCCCAGCTAACAAATTTTTTTCAAATAAAATAAAAGTTTAATACAACCAAATTAAAACTTCTACCATAACCAAAATAAAAGCAAATTTAATACCAAGTTTACATCCCAAATTAAAGTTATAAGAGATAGGTAACTGGGTAAGCCACTAAAATAAGATAAGTTGTTGGGTAAGCCACTAAAATAAGTTGTTAATATAATATATAGATATATATATGCTTAGCGGGGCGGGACCCCTAGGATATGTATATTAAACCCTTATCCACCCCGTGACCCGCGACAAGTACAAAATTTATATCCATGCATGTCCCAACGGTATAAAAAGCGTTCCTATATCCGTTATTAACTAGATAGGGCCCCGACGGGGCGGTAAAAATTGACATCCCTAAATTTTAAATACTATGTGAAATTACCCCCCTGAACTATGGAGAAACTTACAACTAATCCCTTGAACTTCTAAAAATGCAAGAAACTCCTAAATTATGTAAAAAAGTTGCAAATCACCCAATTTTGCCAAGTTTTGGTGAATGTTGCCCATTTAAAATAGTTGACTTATTTTAAATTACCATACTGCCCCCTTGGACGCATGAAAGGACTAAAATGCCCTTAATTTCCATCATTCGAAGGCAAGCTCACCGCTGCTATCACGCTGCGAAGCACCCAATCGCAGCTGAGTCCTCTCCACAACCCGTCGCCCACCGCTACAAAATCTTGCCGTCACTGTCTCACCCCATCTGAGCACTGCCGAAGTTCATCCACAGCCCATATTACCGGCTTTTCTGTCAATCGCTGGCGTGCAAAGCCGTCGTCGCCAACGCCGAATCCATCACCGCTGTGCCAATCTTTGATTTGGGCCGGAATCGCGACTTCTTTAGTCGCTATTCTGCACTGCCGAGCTCTCCACCGGCCATACTCTACGCCGCCGAGCTCTCTCTCGCTTGCTAGCTTCCATCACCTTCACCCCTCTCTCTCTCGCTCGGCGGCTACGACGATGATCGATGCAATTTTCTGCTGCAATAGCGAATGGTTTCCGATGACAAATTGCAAAGAGATCTCTCAATTTGCAAAGAGCGGCAACGAGGTGAAGGTCCGGAGTCGGCAACGCCACCATCCTCCATTGCGAGCTTCGTTTTCAACAATTAATTCCTTTATGGGTACCAATTGAAGTGAAAATCGCTGCTTCAAAAGCTCGAAAATAGTATATATGTGTGTGTATATATATATATATATGCATACCCCCCTTTCGCCTTCACATAAATTCGTGTTGAATTTGATGATTCAAATTGAGACTCAATTGTTTGTTTCGGTAAACCCAAATCAAGAACATCGACTGGTCTAACGTTTGTTGATGCAAAATCTCGCGGCGGCGTTCAACAATTCATTGATGTGCTCCCTCTCCTCTCTGTGTCTCTTTGTGGTTCTTTTATTTCTGCCAATTGCCATGGACGAAATAAGAATAAATTATTATTCCTTTTGTTTGACTGATACCCTCAAATATATGGAACTGATTGTTACAGGACTGAGGCTTTTATGTCTCTGTGATAAGCCGGATTGTTGGATTCACCGAAGAGGGTCGTGGTATCTTGGAGCTTGCCGTTGAATCAGTCAAAGCTCACCAGAATTGGAACCAAATTGAACCACAACTCACCCAAACAGGAACAAAAACTTACTGGATCCAGTGGAGACGGACTTGTGGTGAGTTCATATGAATGCCTTGTGAAGAAGATGAACAGTGTGTGTATGTTTGTGTTTATACAAAGCTGTTTTTTTCTCTTATGTTTGCCACGTCAATAAGTCAATTTAGGAAAGGCAGTATCGTCTCTTTTTTTTTTTTTTTCGGACGACCTGAGTGAGCAAATTGCAATAAATTAAAAGTTCAGAAAAATTTATTGTAATTCCGGGCTAGCTGCAAAACCCCCATAATTCAGAGGAATTTTTTTGTACTTAATCCAATTTTTTATGTAAATGACTTTTCATGGTGTTCTTTATTATTTTGTACAGATAAACAATTTGCCTAATTCGTACTCAGATCTTCTGAGGTAGAGTTAGATAGCCATACTTTTTTAAAAATTCAATAGATAATTCGGACAACAGAGACGATGAGAGACTTTGGTTATGGTCTGTGTTATATAGGGAGAGTGTGTAATTTGGAGAGAAGACTATAAGTTAAAAATAAAAGGGCAATAGGTTACCAAACCCCCTCAAATCCTCTAATTTTTTTATGTCATAATATTTTCCATGAAATCCATCCCTTTTAAAATCCCACTCATTCTAAACATCTTAAATCCAATTCCGGTTAAATCCCTCCATTCCAAACACAAAATGTTACCATTACTTAGTCTTAGTAGACTATTTGTTGACTAACAAATAAATCTAAAAATAGGGATGATGGGATTTAAGAAAAAATAAATAAACCTAAAAAGGGACCAATATCAAAATTTGAAGGAAAAAATAAAAAGGGTGGGATTTAAGTAAAAATAAATAGACCTAATTTAATTTATAAGTCAGACCACCTTTAATAATAATTATACTCACTCCGTCTTATATTCATTATTCAATTGAGATATTTATAAAAAAAAAACATAGTTACTCACGTCTCCAGAAGGTAAGTATTGCTTAAATAGTGTGTATGTTGGCCTATATACATTCTCTTTTATAAAAATAAAAAAAATAAAAAAAAATAAAAAAAGGTTATCCACTTTAGATATTAAGACTTTTTAAGGGAATGTGTAATTAATGCAATGTTCTCTTTTAAAATTATTTAGTAATTATGAAAATGTACTCTCTTTTTTCTTTAATTTTTGAGACATTCCTAACTAAAAAGATAATAACTAAAAAAAATTAAAAATTTGAAGGGGCGTGCTTGAATTTTGCTACACAAAATCACAATTAATAATATTAAATAATTTCCATTAATAGATGTTTGAAAAAAATTCGGAGGGGGCAAATTATTACATAACATAATCCAAATTATACTCAAGCAAATGTGTGTGTGTGTATTTTTTTTTTTTTTTTTTAATTTGGGTATTGCTGTCTTACCAAAGATGCACAACACGTGATTACATTAGCGTGCAAAATTGAAGACTTTTGCCCACAAGCCTTAGCTAGATTCGTCACTGCAGTCCAATCAATTATTGAGATTGATTTCTAAGATTTGAAGTTATACACCGGTGTCTGTTCCTGGGTTCGGTGAGTAGATATTATTGGTAGATCACTGAAAATATAATAAATTAGTAAATAAAAAGTGATTGTAAGTACAGTAATTTTTTAAGTGTTGGAATTCATTTTATTACGGTAAAATTAATTATTTTTTTTTTTCTCGACCTGACATGTCGCCTTATTCAATATCTTATTATCCACTTAGAATGAATGAATTACTTTGGCTATCAATTTCATTCATATGAGATCTGTGTTTTACTTATGCCATCTGAACCGATCTTTTTGAATTTTAACTCTCTAAAAATGTCACATCAGCTTTTTTAAGAATCACATCAGTAATTTCAAGAGTCACGGTTTTCGCTCTCCAGAAACATGCACTCCATTAGACTTTCCGAATTTTCGCTCTCCAAAAAAAATAATAATAATAAATTAAAATAAATTTTTTTTTTTTTAAACTTTTCCTAAACGGCTATATTTGTGATAGCTATATTTTTAACGGTTATATTTGTAACGGCTATATTTTTCATCTTATATAATGAAACTCATTTGCTCTTCTAAAAATCATCACAATATTCATCTCTCACCATTGTAGCAAAATATCATCATCCATCTTTTTCAATTTCGAAATTCGAATGGCTTCGTCATCACAGGCTTTTCCTTTAGCTTACTCTAATTCTTCATCTTCCTCTTCGAAAGATGATCCTTTTGGGGCGTTGATTCAACAAGATCAAGACGAATTCTATGAGATTATGAATTCAGTGAGGCCAGAGATAGTTGAGTAAGTATTTTCAGTCCGTAAAAAGAAGCGGTACATTCAGCATGACCGAGAGGGAAGCCACTATCAGCTAATGAAAGACTACTTCAACGACAATTGCACATATCCACCAGAGTACTTTCACAGGCGATTCCGGATGCGACGAGAACTTTTTCTTCGCATCCTTAATGATGTCAAAGCTTATGATGATTACTTTGTCCAAAAAAATGATGCGACTGGTCATCTGGGGTTGTCTTCTATACAGAAGATGACAACTGCTGTTCGTATACTCGCATATGGTTGTGCAACCAATCACTATGATGAGTATATTAAAATTGGCGAAAGCACTGCCATTAAATGCTTGAAGGCATTTTGTAATGTTATTGTTGCTGTGTATGCAGAAGAGTATATGTGCCTACCCAACGAAGCCGACATAGCACATCTGCTTAAAAAAGGGGAGCAGAGAGGATTTCCGGGTATGTTTAGTTCTATCGACTCTATGCACTGAGAGTGGAAGAATTGCTCAGTGGAGTGGCAAGGCACACATAGGGGATGATCTGGCAAGAAAACTCTCATATTGGAAGCAGTTGCCTCACAAGATTTGTGAATCCGGCATGCATTCTTCGGAATGCCGAGTTCACACAATGATATAAATGTGTTGGATCATTCCTCGGTATTCAACAGTATCGTCAATGGCCAATTACCTCCGGTTAATTATGTAGTGAATGGACATCACTATAGAATGGGGTATTACCTGTCTTATGGTATATATCCTAAGTGGGCAACTTTGATGCAGACCATCCCGCATCCAACCACTACAAAAGAAAAATTATTTGCTCAGCGACAAGAAGCAGCAAGGAAAGATGTGGAACGAGCTTTTGGAGTATTGCAGATCAAGTGGCAATAACGCAAGGACCAGTGCGTTACTGGGAGAAAGATGACTTATGCCTCATAATGAAAACGTGCATCATTCTTCACAATATGATCATTGAAGATGAGCGTCACGCAAATGTTGGAAGATGGACTCCGCAACCGAAGGATACAATCCCGATTCCCACTTTAAGTCAATGCCCATCGGTTTTAACGACACATCGCCAACTTCAGATTCGTAACAGAGAGACAAATACACGGTTGATGAATGATTTGATAAAAAATTTGTGGAACCGCTATGCTGATGAAGATGTTTAATTTATGTTACATTTTGTTTTATATTAAGATGTTATGACATTTCGTGTACTAGTATTTTTTATTATGTAATGGTTTTTTAAGATTGGAATAAGAAAATAAGTATTTTATTTTAATTTTTTTTTTTAAATTATAGCCGTTAAGGCACTGTTTGGTACTGTAGAAACAGTGCCTTAACGGCCAAATACACTATTTAGCCTACTCGTTTAAAATTTAAAGCAAAAAAATAAAAATAAAAAACCAAATTTTAAGGGAAAAAAAAAAAGGTAAAATTTGAATTTTTAAACTTTTTTTTTTTTAAATTATAGCCGTTAAGGCACTGTTTGGTACTGTAGAAACAATGCCTTACGACCAAATACACTATTTGGCATACACATTTAAAATTTAAAGCAAAAAAATTAAAAAAAAAAAAAAAAAAACTAAATTTTAAGGGGGGAAAAAAAAAAGTATTTTTAATATATTTTTGGCCTAATTTTTTTTTTTCGACAAACAATGCCTAAACAATATATTTTTTATTTAATGAATTTTATTTAATTTTTTTTCCAAAAAAAAGAGCTCTAAATAACCTATTTTTAGGTTTTTTTTTTTTTTTTTTAAAAACTGCAAAACAGTGCCTTCTAAATAACCTTTTTTTTAAGGCACTGTTTGGCACACTGTTACAGCAGGAGAAAAAACAAAATACCAGCCTTTTTGCAAATGACATCGTTTTGGCGCAGAAAAGACAAAAAAAAAAAAATTTCCACGATCGCGGGCCGGCTCGTTGAATACCGCGAGCCTAAAATGGGCCCTACCTATTTGAAGAGCCCGCTGCAAGAGAGAAAGCTCATTTGGCTCGCGAAAAATGGGTTCCACTAATGGGCTGCGGATTGCCAGTGTTCAAACTTTCCAAACTTTGGAATACCCACCTACCGCTCGAGGACCTCAATAAAACTGGTCAAACTTGCCTCCCTCTCCTCACTGATACGTACCAAAAAGGAGAAGAGAGAGTTGAGAAGAAAAGAAATCAAGATTCCTTTCAGTACTACTACTATTGTTTGGCAACAAGATGGCAGGAGGAGTTTTTGTTAAGAATGGTTCCAAACAGTATGAGGGCGGCGTCACCGCATTTGTCGTGATCACATGTATTGTTGCCGCCACCGGTGGTCGCATCTTCGGCTATGGCATCGGAATATCAAGTTGGTATATATTTTTACTAATCACCATCCAGTATCCACTCTTCAAATTTAAACAGTAAAGAAGGGTGCAACTTTTAATATTTACATAAATCTTGTATAACACACACATATATATATGTACACACACCTTGTCGAGCTTGAACTTTCAATCTCTCCTATGAGAAGGCTGAGGAAATACCATTCAACTTTCAAGTCAAATTTTCGGTGGTTCATGATCATGTTTCTTTCTAAACTGAAGGGAAAATTTTTTTTTCGAATTTATGTAGTTTATTTATCATTTATTTTTTTGGGGCAAAGTTCTCATTACATCCTTTTATTTGTGCAATGTACAGATATATACAACCTAAATTATGGCAATTTCACATTTGGGGATGTCAATTCATATCTGCAAAAAAAAAAAAAAAAAAAAAAAAAAAAATTAAGATTGTTGAGACTAATAATTATGCTAAATGGTTAGTAATTTTTTTCCTTTAATAAGTTTTGCATACATGAAAATATATATAATCACTACAACAAATTTGGGCTCTTGCCACCAAATTTTTTGCCATGCATAAAATTTTGTGGCAAAAAGTACCTTTTGGCCACAAAATAAACTTCTTGTGGCTAATATATGTGTTTGCCACGGAATAAATTTTTCGTAGCAAATACTTGTTCTTGCCACAAATATTAAGGACGACCTAAAAATTTGTGGTAAAATATCAATTTTGCCACGACGAATTAAGGACGACATAAAAAGTTGTGGCAAAATGCTATTTGTGCCACGAAATTCTATTCGTGGCAATCGTATGTTTCTTTTGCCACAAATATATTTTCGTGGCAAATCACTTTACAATTTGCCATGATGTTTTTCTCGTGGCAAATATAATTTTTTGGCACGAAATTTTTTTCTCGTGGCTAAAAGGTGGATTCTGCCACGAATTATTAGTTGTGGCTATGATATGCTCTATTGCCACGAAACTATTACCGTGCCAAATCTATTAGTTATTTACAATGATGCTTTATTCGTGACAAATAATATCTTTTGCCACAAATTTTCAATCCTTGTGGCGAAATGCCTTTTTTTACAACTCTGGAGTGAAATAATGGTTTCGTATCAATTGCTGTAGAGATGTTTGATAATTTGTTTTCGTGGCAATTAGGAACTATTTTGCCACGAATTTTCAATCCTTGTGGCGAATCGCCATTTTTGTCAACAAATTTGTTTTCGTGGCAATTAGGATATCTTTGTTGACTATTATTTATTTATTTATTTAGATTTTGTAATTCCTTAAATAAGAGGCCTAGAACACCGAATCCCTAAGCAAAGTAATTAATTGTTAAATAAAAATCCAAAATGGTATTTCTTTTATAAAAAAAAAAAAAATTAAAAAAAAAAAAACGTACCAAACATTCTTATATTGAATTTAAATTAATCACACACACACACACACACACATATATATATAAATCCATAATGCAATATTTACAAGTAATTAAATAATTAAAGATATAATAAAAAATATATATCATATATCAAATCTTGAATAAATTTACAATTACAAAATAATTAACTTATTATACGACCTATTCTATTATATATTAATTGATCACCGATTGAGATGACTTTTAGTGAACTTAATTTCATACCACTAAGTTGGATACAATAATTAATATTAAATCTTAAAACATTATAATTATTATTACGACATTGTACTATGTTGACCTTAAGGATTTCATTCAAGGAGAATCTAATTGTTTTGATGATTACAAATCATTAATGATGTGTATGGACTAATATTTACATTAAGTGTTATAGATTATCTACATTCAAAGATTGACCTCAATGAAGGTATAAAGATTAATTCCAAGTATTCCATTATTCAAGATCATATCAAAGAGCTAAAGAAGCTATGAAGTTACAAAGAGCTAAATGCAAGTCTATCCAATGATAACTTGGACAACAATGATCAATCAAGCAAATGATTATGGACAAAGCTTGAAGAAAGCGATAGATAGGATGGTAAGTATTTAGAATTCAATGTTAAAGTATTTATGAATCTATTTGAAGCTTATCTCTATAGGACCATATGTCAAATGTATATATATATGATAAAATCTATTTAAAGCTTATCTCTATTAGATCAAGCATATCATTACATCATTCATATGAGTCTTTAAACCATTAGGAATTGACTATGAACTTCATCATCCTAATGGTTTAAAGACTCATATGAATGATGTAATGATATGCTTGATCCAATAGAGATAAGCTTTAAATAGATTTCATCATATATATATATATATATATATATATATATATATATATTTGTCATATGAAGTTATTGCTAAAGAATGAGTTAATTCAAGCTTGCATAAGCTTTAAAAAAACTCAACACTTAGGTTAGAAATGCTAGAACCATGCACATCAATCATATGATTTATTTTGGTTTCTATAAAATAGACTCTAAGGCATTGAACTTATTTTTCATCCACAAGGCCTTTGTTACCATGACTGGATAAAAGACTTTATGACCTGTTCATTTCTTATGAAAATCTATTTTTGCTGTTTTTGGCTAAGTATAAAATAATAATAATAATTTGAAATAAAGATATTTTCATAATAATTTTTCCCGATATTTACTCATTACATATTAATTAGTCAAATCGGATTTTATCCGATTTTATTATCAACCTTATATATATATATATATATATATAATTCAACCAACATTGAGGATTTGCTGTCTTGCTGAGTCTGGAGGTATCATGTTGAACTAGACTCGTCGTACTCTCTTTTTTTATAGTGAATTTCTTGGCCAAGCCAAGTCCCGAGCATTTTTTGATCCCGAATAGGAGGTAAAATTATGTATAATTGGAATTTATAATTATTTATTACTTAAATATATAAATTAATTAGATTAATAAAATCAAATGTAGAAACATTAATATTAATGTGTATATATATATAAATATATAATATTCATAAACACTCATTCAAAGAGTTGACGTACGTATATATATATACAAACGCAATAATAACAATTCATACCATTAATTGATAAGTTTTTCATTTCTTTTAAAATATTTTTTTTGTCTGAAAATCATATATAAAATGTAAAATGTTTAGAAAACTAAAATTTAAACATATTATATTATAAAAAATATAATTACTTGTACTTAAATTTTTTAATTATTTTATTAATTAAGTTGATTTAATTAAATATGATAACATATAATAAGTAGTTTATTTATAAATGTAAATCATTTATAAAACATTTTTAAGAAAAACTATATTAAAAATATTTTTAAAAAATTTTTATTTATTTTTTGCTTTTTTATCAAAAGTTTTTAAGTGTGTTGAAGCGGGAAAATTTCGCGCTTCGGATTTTTCCAAACTCGATTCGGAGTGCCTCAATATACATACGTTTTTAAAAAAATAATTCAATCGCTAATAAAAGAGTATCTATTTATATATTGGGACTTTAATGGGAAAAAAGATTTAAAAAAAGGACTTATTGCTCATGATGAAATTTTTTAGGATTTATTTGTTTCTCAATGATAAAAGTAGGACTTAGTAATAATTTTTCCTTTTAATATAGGTTTTTAAAATATAGTAAATCGAACTTATATTGGTGTCATTAGAGAAAATACTAAGTCTATTAGTCTCATATTTATTAAACACCTACAAAACAAACCGTAAAAAACATAAATAAAGATGAATTTCACTATCAATTAGTGTATGCCATATTGAGAAAACAATATATATAAATAAATTTACTTATATATGAAAATTAATTTAATTTGTATGACACTTATATAACACTTGTAGTATATGATATCATACTATTTAACAAAATAATTTATTTATTTAAATGGTTTATAAAAAGTTCTAAATATTTAAACAGGTTATAAATTTTTTTATATTTAAATAATCTTTTATTTTTTATCTTTTTAGCTAAGTGCAGGAGCACCAAAGTTTGGCGCCTGAAATTTGGCAAAAGGAAAATGAGATTTATTTCGTATTGGGATGCTAAATCGAGATAGATACCTCATTCTTTTACATTAATTCTCTCATTTCCTCTACTCTCTCATAAGGACGCTCCCTTCCATAGCATTATCTGATCATGTTAGCGGCCACATCGAATCGTTCTCTTCTCGATCTTCGCTGGTAAGTGTTCTCCCTCTTCCATCATTCACTCTCACTCTCGCCATGGCTCCTTCACAACCTCATTTGTCTATTAACATGGCCGATGTTGAGTAAGGACTTGAAGATCAGCAATCGACCAAAATTGCAGAACTCTACAGGTAAATGTTTCTCTCTTATCTTTCATCTCAAAATGTTGGCGGAATATTTATCTCCGTATGTGGATAAGTAATTGTGATGAAAAATCAGTTGGGGATTTTGGGATTTGAGGATTTTACTAAATTAATTTGATGCAATTTATTGATTTTCTTGAAGCCCTAGGTTTAATTAGAGTCCTATTATGTTTTATGTTTGTGAATTAGTGAAAAAAGTTTCGTGATTTAAAGGAAAGGAAGAGGAGACGTTGAAGATATGGGTTATAAAGACTATTGCTGAGATAATGAAGCTTAGAAATGTGCACTCAAGGTGCTTGTAAAATTATGTGAACCAAATCTCCAGCTTTGCTACTAGAATTTTTTGAAGTAAAATGCCCCCAAATCGTGCTAGGACCAAACCAGGGCAGTGTTAAGCCCTTCCCCTTCCTCCTCCTTACCATGATCCTACTCTTTTCATGCCATTGACAATTATTTCCAGTGGAATGGTTTGGATTTAAATATACATGCACACAAATCACAAATATACATGAACATATATAGAAGTACAAATAATCATTGGCTCCTCTTTCCTTTCTTCCATTTGACTGATTTGTTAAATTTTAATTAATTGAGTTCAAATTATTGTTCATATTTATTGGCATATACTTTGTAGATACTAATGCCTATAGCACTTGTCTATATACTTTGTTGATCCAATCTCTTAATTTTCCATAGCTGATAGCCGTAAGTACCTATTCTATAACTACTTCTCTCTCTCTCTCTCAATCTCTTTCTCTCTCTATAGTCTATAAATTATATATTTATATGTCAGAAACCAATTGAAGGATTATTGGGTGAATTTGTAGATGAAGCGTGCGAAGAGATACTAATTGTTCCCCTCTTTATCCCTACTTATTTATTATCAGGTTGATACTACCTTTTTTCTATGAAAAACAATTTAATATAAGGTAAAGATAAAACCAATTCCTTGTTTATTATCATGGTGGGTTGACTAACTTGTTTATAATCATGTGTATGCTTGCTGAAGCAGAAGTTTATTATCATGTCTATCTAGATTGTCACCAGGTGGTGCTCGGAAGTTTATTAATCTCTGTAGAGGCAGCCATTGTGATGTAATAGCTAGCATGCTGGGTAAGTTCACCTTTTACACTGTTCACATTAGGATGTTCAAATTAACCATATTAATTTATTGTGTTTTTCCAAATTTTCCCTTTCCTATGTAATGAGTAATATTATATAGTGATTGCTTTATTCATAAATATGAATTTCAATAGAGTGAGTACCTACAGTTTAGCTTTCACTCCTTGTCATTAAAAAAAGGGTCAAGTATCAATTAAGTAAACCTTTTTGCATCTCTCTCTCTCGCAAAAATGCGTAGTGGGTTCTCACAATGTGTAATCACAATTTGATAATCTACATTACTATGTTTAATTAATGGGACATGGCCACACCTTTAACAAGAAAGTAAGTGCATATTGAAACCTTGTTGAATTGATGATTCTGTTTTACTGGTTATCATGTGATAAAAGGATTTGATTTTCAAGTACTTATTTTCTTTTATATATGTCTTTATTTTTCCGGAGCAACAAAATTAATTGATTTCAGTTTACAACAAAGGTTAGAGTATACTTCTTTTTCATTACTACTTGATAGGAAATTACGATTTACATGTTTGGTTTTTTAAGAAAGTGAGAATGAAATATAAAATAACTTAAGATATGCTTGGTAAGATATATATATATATATATATATATATATATATATATATATTTATATTTATTTATTTATTTATTTATTTATTTTATCTCCACTATCATGTTTAATCCATATGGTAATCCTTGGCAATGCATTCAATGCTTAAAAAGTTAAATATTTTTTTCCCTTGCAAATTGTGTGTTGTGCCTACCCTATGAACTTGTGTGTTTGGCTGGTTGTAATGTAATGCATTCATAAGTTGTATCCCATTACTTGGATTTTCTTTCTTCTCTTTTCTCTGTTTTTGTTTCCTCTTTTTGTCTTTTGTGGTTTGATTGTTGTTGCAGGTGGAGGAAAGATCATCAAACCCCACCAAATGGATACCAAGAATTCTTCTTTCAAAAGAAAAACCTTCAAGATCCCATCTGAGGTATCTCTCTTTGTATTATCTCCTTCTCTCTCTCTCTCTCTTTCTCTCTCTCTCTCTCTCTCTATATATATATGTATATATGTTGTAATTCTTAATTTTTGTAGGGTTTTATTTCCCCTTTCATTCGCTGGTTCTAAGGTCTAATTTATTGAATTTGCACTCGGATACTGTTGCGAATTAAGTTACCTTACCCAATTATTAATTGATACATGAATCTGTTAACGAGAAATCATAGGAAAACAAAAGAAAATTTTGAAATACATGTTCAGTTGAACTAAGTCACAATTATTTAATTTCATATTTTTGTTCTATGGGTATCCCAGATTATTGAAATCTTCCTATTCAGAAATATAGGGCCTATTTGGTTTAGCTTTTTGGGAATAGTTTTAAGAGCACTTGAAAACAGAATAAAGTTTAAAAATAATATATATTCATTTGGTTGCCGTTTATCTCAAAACCTATCTGTGAAAACTGAGTTAAAAAATGTATGATATAGACAACTTTCTTTTCTAGTTCTCTTAAAATGGTTCGCTGTTTTTGAAGTCTTGAAAACTATTATCAAAGTACTAAACCATTTTTGACAGCATGTTAACATTAACTTCAAAAATCTATAGTAATTTCAAATTCAATCAATTTGAGCCAAACAAAATCATGTAAACTCATTAACAATTGTACTTTCATATCCAAAACTTAATTTAAAAGATAATAGTTCTAAGTATAGAGATTTCAGTTTTAAAATCAGCATTTTTGGTTTCATTTTCCAATACTACTCTTCATTTAAATCCTAACAATTCTTCAACTAATTTAATGCACATATGGAACCAAAACAAGGCAATAAAAATTAGTAATTGTATTTATTTATTGTTTGTTTTGCAGATTTTTGGATGGGCTCATGCTACAAGACTTCAAGCTCTTTTTATTTAAGATGGTTTAAGTAGTGCATGTCCAAGTCTTTGAACCCTTTGTTTAGGAATCTATTGCTCATTTTTGTCTGAGATCTTGAAACATTTTATTTAAGATACTAGCTTGTTTTGGTCCAAATTATTGGAGTTGAAATTGTTTTAGATGAGAAGACTCATTTTTTTACGTGATGGGCTTTATTATGTATGTTGTAAACAATACATTTTTTGGTTGGTGTAACTTACGCAATATCAAGTATTTATTTGTTTGCATAATCGTGTTGATGTGATAATTTTTTTTTTTTAATATTATTTCTCATGTTTATAATGTTAATAATTTACAGATTTGCTACAAATTCTTATTGTGCCACAATAAATATATGGCATTGTTTTGGTGTTTACCACAATATATATTTTTGGTTATTAAATTAAATTTTATTTTATTAATAATAGAATAGCCACGGATAAACTCCGTGGCCTTTTTGGATATTTGTCACGACGTATATTCGTGGGCAATTAGATTTATAGCCACGAATGAACTCCGTGGCCTTTTTGGATATTTGCTACGACGTATATTCGTGGGTAATTAGATTTATAGCCACGAATGAACTCCATGGGAAAACGGTTAAATTAGCCCCGATATATATTTTTGTTGCAAAAGTATTGAATTAGCCACGATTAATTCTTATATCGAGATTGCTAATTGCCACGAAAGTATTGTTATTTAGCAACGAAATAACTTGTGGCGATAAGAGGTATTTTACCACGAGTTCAAATTTTATGGCAAAAGTTCCACATTTTGCCACGAAAATTTTTAGTCGTGGTTATTTGCAATCTGTGACGGGGCTACGCCCACGATTGAGCCACAAGCTATTTCTTATGGCTAAAAGGCTTTCGCCACGAAATTTGAAGGTTTTTGCTACGAAGTGTCTTGTGGCAAAAACCCTAATTTGTTGTAGTGAATGAAATATTTGATTTATAATTGATGTTTTGATAGTTATTAGTAATATTTTTTATTATGAGATAAATTACATTCAATGTTATGTTATGCAGGAGGTGTGACATTCATGGATGAATTATTGGAAAAGTTCTTCCCATCAGTGTACTTGAAGGAGAAAAATCTCTCTGGTCACTATTATAATCAGTACTGCAAAGCCAGATACTTCAACTGTTCACCTCTTCACTTTACATAGCTGCAGTCGCAACTTCATTCTTTGCCTATGAAACAACGAGGGTTTTTGGACGAAGATCTCCATGCTTTTTGGAGGGATGGTGTTTCTCGCTAGCTCTCTCTTTAATGGTCTTGCCAAAAATGTGGCAATGCTGATCATTGGTCGTATTTGGCTAGGTGTTGGTGTTGGATAGGGGTGGCAAAAATCCTCAACCCGGTGGGGAACCGCCCTGCCCCCGCCCCATTTAAAGCGGGTTTGGAGAACCGTTTACTTAAATGAGGTAGGGATGGGGGTTAAAAAAAAAAAACCGGTCGGTTGCGGGGCGGGGGCAGGGGACTAAGATCCCCGCCCCATAATCGTCCCGTTTAATATTTTAAATTACTAATTTACCCTGCTATGTTAATATATTTACCAAATTAACCTTCACTATATATATATATATTGGAAACCCTACACATAAGTTTCAAACCCTACACTTCAATAGCAGCAGCAGCCGTGTCTCTCTGAGCTCTCTCTATCTCAAACCCAGAATACATCCACCATGGCAGCCATGTCTCTCTCTGAGCTCTCTCTATCTCAAACCCAGAATACATCCACCATGTTGGGTGAGTTTGGGAGGCGGCAAGGCGGCGAGTTGGTGGGTGAGTCGGGATGAGTCGTTGGAGAGTGTAGATTTTGTAGTTTGCAGTTGCAGAGAGAGAGAGGGCAAGTTCAGAGTTTTGAAATTTTGATTCTTGAACAATCTGAAATGATATACCGATATGGGTTTTGATTTTTTGATTATTGCAGTCAATAGATAAACTGAAAGATATGGGTTTTGACTTTTTGAACAATCTGAAATGATATGCAGATATGGGTTTTGAACTTTTGATTATTGCAGACAATAGATAAAATGAAATATATGGGTTTTGAGTTTTTGATTCTTATAGATTTTGTAGTCTGCAGTTGTAAAGAAAGAGAGAGAGGGCAAGTTCAGAGTTGAGAACGAGAATAGAGATGGAGGCGACTGGGAGGCTAACTTGAGTTGCCCTAAAAATATAATCGATTATGGGGCGGGGGTGGGGCAAGTGGGGCGGGGGCGGGGGCGGTTATGGGGATTAGAGGCAAAAAATTAACTGGTTATGGGGCGGTTTCGGGGGCACCAAAATTAAACGGGGGCGGGGATGGGGAATGGGAAACCCGCCCCATTGCCATCCCTAGTGTTGGATATGCCAACCGGGTAATAAAATCAGACATATACACACACACACATATATATATATATACACACACACACTAGAAAATAGAAATTAAATTTATTAAAGTCTTAAACCTCAAAAAGTAAAATAACAAAGATTTATAAATGAAATTTTTGGTGGAAAAAATGAATAAATTAAAACTCCAAGCCCGCAAACAAGGAGGACAGAGAGAGAGAGAGAGCAAAAGAAATTGCTGAGGTTGTAAGGTTAGAAACACAAAAGACCCAAATCATGACTTGGGTTATACCCAAATGAACATTTAGAAGCATACTAGCACAATTAAAGAATGAGAACCCATGATGAATAATTCTCAATTATGGTCAACAATTTCACATAACTAAGAAACATAATAGGAAAAAAAAAATTCAAACATTGCATCCTCAAAAACAAAATATAAATAACACAAAATATAGATTGAGCCATACCTTAAGCCAAAATAGGCTTTGAGTTATGCGCTTCAACCAAATACTAACTTTTGAAGTAGAGTTAGATAATAAATGTTGAAAGAAGAGATGGGTAGAATAAGCAAGGCCAAGTAGACATGAAAGAAGAAGACGTGTCGGTTTAATTGCTATTGTTTCGAAACAATGGAAAAAAATAAATTTTTTTTTTTTAAAAATAAAATAAAAAAAAGAAAAAGAAAAAGGGGATCAGAAAGAAAAATAGCCCAGTAGACATGAAAGAAGAAGAAAAAAGAAGACGTGTCGGTTTGAACAATAATAATAAAAAAAGGAATATTTATTTTTTATTTTTTATTTTTCTTTAAAGAAGAAGGGGAAAATAATGAAAAACTGTTTTATTTTTAAAAATTTCTTAAAATCAAATTGACGTCGTCTTAAGCAACGTATGTAATGACATATATGTTTTTTAAAATAGCACTTTTAAAATATTGAAATCAAGTATATATTATAGGACAATGCTTAGCTACTCATCGGTGAGTAGTTTCACCCTACTTACTCCTTAGGTATTCCAATAACAAAATAATACATCATCTTTAATAACAAAATCAGCAAAATAAAAAAAAAAATAAAAAGAAGAAAAAAGTCAGATCGACCCGTTTTAATTGGAGAATCACCCTTTCTCTTTTCTATTTTCTCTCTACTCTTTTATTGATTCCCAACTCACGCCCTCCTCTTTCTACTGTTCTTCTTCTTCACCATTTCTCATTTATTCTTCTTTACCCTTTTCACCACCGGTACTGTTGTTTCTCTCGCACTACAATTGACTCCTCCTTAGACATTCACAGGACGACCAATTTCGTCTACTCCATATTCTTTGGATGAACCCCTTGTAAACAAGTGCAAATTGGTCAACGCTGCACATCGCGACTTCCAAAAAGACCAAACTTGCCATATGCATCACTTCAGTTTGTTGAGTTGACCATCGAATGTCCCATGTTTCCTTTCCGTTTTCATAGTACTTCAGAGTTAGAGTTCCATCAGAACTTAAGGTCAAGTATAAATTTTTAAAAAGTGTAACTTGTATCTATGATTCCTTAATTCCTTCTCATATGCAATTTCAAATTTGAAGTAGTTTGCTGAAGGCATGTCCGGTATAGCAATAAAAACCTGGCCATTCCATGGACCACTCCGCCAGTTTGGATGACTACCATTCCATATATATAGAATATTCAGAGGATTGATGCCAAAAGTGATAAAAAAAAAAAAAAAAAAAAAAAAAGAAATAAAAGAGAAATGGTGAAGAAGAACAGTGGAGAGATAAGCCGTGAGTTGGGAATCGATGAAAGAGGAGAGTGAAAAGAAAAAGAGTGATTATCCAATTAAAACAGGTCGATCCGACTTTCTTCTACTTTTTTTTATTTATTATTTTACTGATTTTATTATTAAAGTTGATGTGGAACACCTAAGGGGTAAGGAGGGTAAAGCTACTCACCAGTAAATAGCTAAGTATTGTCTTATATTATATTATTACCAAAAACTATAAAGGAAAACTGTTTTGTTTTTTAAAAAATTCTAAAAATAAAATTGATGGTATATATTTATCTTTAATTTTTTTTTTTCTAAATAATTGTATTACCATTTACAGAGCATGTAGTCTTTCCAAAAAGCACATTGTTGGTACAAGTTGCAATAGTTAGGAACATTCTTTTTTAATTTAAAATAAAATAATTAGTATATGATAAGTATTTTACGAAAATAAATTAAAAAAATTCACAGATTTTTCATTAGATGATAAATTTTAAACATTTATTAGTTTAGAGTTAAGGAAAGAGGAAATAAATAATACAATTGGAGAAATAGGAAACAAATAATACAGTTGGAGTGGAGAGACACGTTATAAAAAGAAGAGATCAATTAAATATTTAAAGAATATTTTGAGTAAGAATAACTCTTTGCATAAATCTTATATGAGTTCTCAGAATAAATATTAGTATTCAAGTAAAATCACGGTCCAACAAAAATTTTCCTTAATTAGAGATTGACTCAATGTCTACAATACGTGTAGTATGGACAAAGATGGAATGAGGGACGCATTTTTTTTGTTTTTTAAAAATTCTTAAATTAAAACTGATGTCTTCTTAAGAAACGTTTTTTTTGTTTTTTAAAAATTCTTAAATTAAAACTGATGTCTTCTTAAGAAACGTATGTAATGAGAAAATTTGTGTGACCGAAAACTGAAGGCTTATAAAATATTGGAAAAAGTGTATACGAGGCTTATAAAATATTGGAAAAAATGTATATAAAAATTAAAAATAGAGACTTGAAACGACGCTTTATAGGAAACTGCGTATACGTGTTTAAAAATTAGACAACACTTATAAAATATTGAAAAAAGTGTGAAAATTGAGACGACGTTTAGAAATTAAAAATCTCTCATGCATTTTTTTGTTTTTTAAAAATTCTTC